GAAAATATTATTTTATTTAAATATTTATAAATATATTATATTTATAACATTGATTAAATAATGTTTCAATACTTATATTTGATTTTATTATACTTATATAAATATATTATTTTTATTTTGATATATAACTTTAAAAATCTTTTGTAAGATAATAATGAAAAATATATTTTTTAAGATACATATAGTTAATTTTTAAAAAATCATAATTTTAATAATAATCATTAAATATATAAACTTAGAAACAAATTTTAATAATAATCATAAAAATAAAAGATGAACATAATATAATATTGATGTGAAATTTATTCTTTTAATTATTATGAGTTGTTCTTTAAAATGAATTATTAAGACCTATTATGCTGTTTATTCTAAAAATAATGGATAAGAAGGGTTTAAACTCAAAAAAAAAAATAACTAAAACAAAAAATGAATGAAAGGTCATTATTACATTACAGCCACAGCCGAGAAACAACAGGGAAAGGAAAGAAAGAAAGAAAAGTGGAAAACTACACTCTTGAGGTCCATTCTCAATCTTTATTAATAATATATTTTTGTGTAGATGAAGGAAGATCAAGAGAAGGTATTGTTGTGAGTTGTGTTGCTATGGTACCATCCTTCAACCACAAACCCTTTCTCCCTTTCTCCCTCTCTCTCTCTCTCCTTCTCAATCTCATCACATCATCATCTTCTCTATAACCCCAATCTCTCAAAACCTCACCATTAAACCAAATCAAATGACCCTTTTCTGACAACAAACTATAGGTCAAACCCTTCAACTTTTTTGCCCCCAATATAACATTTTTTCATCATTTCTCACCATATTTCCTCCATTTTCATTTTCTGGGTCGTCTCAGAATTCCAAAAAGCTTCCAACTTTGAAGATGGGCAAGGGCGGAACCGCGGCGGCGGTGGAGATCGGCGAAACCGGTTCAAGGCCGGTTTTTTTCAGAGAACCGAGATACAGAGGCGTCAGAAAAAGACCGTGGGGCCGGTTCGCCGCCGAAATCCGAGACCCTTTGAAGAAAGCTAGGGTTTGGCTCGGAACCTTCGACACCGCCGAGGAGGCGGCGCGTGCGTACGACACGGCGGCGAGAAACCTCCGGGGACCCAAGGCAAAGACCAATTTTCCCCTTTCTCCGCCGTTTTACCACCCTGATCCATTTTCCGACCACCAGTACTTCGCCGGCGCCGGCGAAGGCTTCCACGATCACCGGCGGCCGACCACTAGCGGCATGAGCAGCACCGTTGAGTCTTTCAGCGGCCCGCGGCCCGTCGGGACGGCGACTGTGCCGGTGCCGGCGGTTGCCGATCGGAGATACCCGCGGACCCCGCCGGTGGTCCCCGAGGACTGCCGCAGCGACTGCGACTC